CATATAAAATTTACTTTTTCCCCCCAAACATTTTAAAGTGTGCAAGTCAGTGTCATTAAGTACATTTCATTGGTAGGGGGTTGGGGATTCAGAGAAGGTCCTGCCCTTTTTTTAATGATGTGAAATTCACATAACATAAAATTTACCATTTTAAAGTGAACAATTCAGTGGCTTTGTTATGTTCACAATGTTGTGCAACCCCCATCTCTACCTAGTTCCAAACCATTTCCATCACCCCAAAAGGAAGTTCCATTTCCAATAGCAATTTGTCTCAATTCCTCCCTCCTCCCAGCTCCTGGCAACCACTAATCTGCTTTCTGTCTCTGTGGATTTGCCAGTTTTGGACATTTCATATCAATGGAATCACATACAATGTGTTTTTTGTGTCTGGCTTCTTTCTCTGAGCGTAATGTTTTCAGGGTTCATCCACATTGTAGCACATATCAGAACTTCAGGAGCATGTGGTGGACTGGGCTCAAGACGGGGAGCCCCTAGAGAACCTCAACTGGGTCCGGCTTCCCCCTGGGAACCTCAGTGCTCTGTTGCCAGGTGAGGTACACCTGGGCTCCCATTCCAGCTGTTGGGAGAGCAGACTGATGGGTGGGTATGCAGGAAAGAGTGTTATGCTTAAGTATCATTAATTCATTGGCCACCCACTGTGTGCCAGCTTCTGTTCTAGACACTGGCACACAGTGATGGCAGCTGACATCTATTGGCATTTACCATAAGCATTAAATCATTCAAACTTCCTTATGAAATAGGCTTCTGCTATTGTCATGCTCATTTACAGATGACTAGAAAGGCCCAGGGTGGTTAAGCAACTTGATTGAGGCTTCACAGAAAGTAGGTGGTAGAACCAGGATTTAAATGACATAGTCAGGATCCTGAACCTAGTGAGGGGGAGAAACTAAGGGCCTGTGTGTGGACCTGGTTGCTGTCTCCTTCTGTTTGCTGAGTCCTATTCTGGGGGGCTTCCCCCAAAATCCCAGTAGAAAGGTTCAGTTTTGGTACTGGGAGTCCCCTGGTGGCTAGGGATATATAGGAGCATCCTCGCTATTTATTTCCTAGTAAGCTGCTGGTCCAACCCAGAGCTGGGACTCCCAGTGAAGCCATAATGTGACATGACCAGCCAAGCAGCTGAGCTACCTCCTCCTGAAATTCTGGCATTGGTAATGTCAAGACTCACAGTTCCCCAAATAAACCCTACCAGATGTCTTGGGCCGGGGTTTGTCTAGTGTGTGCTTTTCCACAGCGTCTCTCAGTTTTTCGGATATTGGACCAGGAGGCTGCATAATGCCATCTTGCCCGTTCCGAGCCCAGTTCATCTTTTCATGGGACATTTCCAGCAGTAGCTGCCCTTGTGGCTTTTAAGTGGCCGACCCGGTGCCCAGAAGTGGTGACTCCGTGGGGAGCTGAGAGTCTCTGTTCCTAGTGCCTTCTTCCCAAAATGAAGTGACTCACTCATTAGTAGGAATCAGGAGGTCTGACAATTTGGCACTCCTGCAGCTGCTTGGGATTCCAGAGGAACTTGGTTGGTGCTGGACCCCAAGACTAGGAGTCTCTAGGGGTCGGGGGGTGGAAGGGAGAAGTTTCTATTCTGGATATGTCCATATGTGCCATCAATTGAAAGGTGGTGCATGGGAAGCTAAATAGCCATCTCAGAGAGGTGAATAAAGAAAAATTAAATTTATTAAAAGGGGACAGGGATATCCAAAGGGAGGGGCTACACAGCACTGAGCCAAAGGGTATTGGGTCCATTATGGCAGCAAAAATATACTTAGGACAGTGAAACAAGGCAGAGCATAGAAGGGCAACAGGATGGCCTGGGCTGGGCTGCTTTGGCTCCCTGAGAAGTCAGAGAGAGAAGGGGCCTTGGAGACGGGTTCAGTGGGTAAGCCTGGGACAGGCCTCCTCTGCCCACTGCTCCCCTGGTTGCAAGTCTCCTGGGGTCCCCTCAAAGGGAAGAAGGGGGATGGAGATGGCGCTGGCACACTCCCCTGGTGGGGAGCACCCACTGGGTCCTTTGTCCTGAGAATATGAATCTTTCTTGCAGGTGGGAAGCTTAAGGGAGGTCTCAGGCCAGTGTCTCAAGAGAATATTTGTGAGCTTTCCAGGTCTTTTCTTTCAGGGTCCTGTTCTCCCCTGATTGGGTGGTGCCAGGGCAGCAGGTCATTAGTCAATGTCGGTGGCCCTGAGGCAGCCATGGGGGTGCCACTTGTCTGGTTTTGCTGCTTTTCTGGGCCTGGAGCTGAAATACAACTGAGAGCTAGATGTTATCTTTGGGAGGAAATGCTCAGGGGGGCTAAACCACCTGACCAGCTATGCTGGGGGAGGGTAGGTTTCCCCGGGGACAAGGTTCTTGTTTTCCCAGTTTTGCCCCTTGCTAGGCACCTGGGGCTTCGTGCCCCGGTGAGTCTCTGTGCCCGAGTTCCTGTACTTGAGTTTCTGTGCCTGGCCCATGTAACAATCTCGGTTTTACCGTCTAAATCATTTTTATGCGCTCAGCTCAGTGGCATGAAGGACGTTCACACTGTTGTGCAGCCGTCACCACACCCATCTCAGACTCTTCATCGTGCAACACTGAAACTCTGTCCCTATAGGTATCTTTTTACTCTTGAAAATTTTCCCCCCCGAGAGCATGGATTCTAGAGCCAGATGTCTCTGTTTCAATTTCCACCCCAACCCCGCTTACTAGCTGATTTGGGGCACCTTATGTCACCACTCTGTGCCTCAGTTTCCTCATCTGTACTGTGGGATCACCGTATTCCTAATCTTATAGTCCAGTGGCTCTCAGAAGTGGTTTCTGGACCAGCAGCATTAGCAGGGCCTGGAAATTTGGTGCACGCGCAGATTCTCTGCTGCTCTGCAGGTGGGCCCAGTGTTCTGGGTTTTAACAAGCCCTCCAGGAGATGCCGAGGCTCGCTCATATTTGACAACCATTATCCTAGGTCCTCAGGAGAATNCATATAAAATTTACTTTTTCCCCCCAAACATTTTAAAGTGTGCAAGTCAGTGTCATTAAGTACATTTCATTGGTAGGGGGTTGGGGATTCAGAGAAGGTCCTGCCCTTTTTTTAATGATGTGAAATTCACATAACATAAAATTTACCATTTTAAAGTGAACAATTCAGTGGCTTTGTTATGTTCACAATGTTGTGCAACCCCCATCTCTACCTAGTTCCA